GTTCCGGATTAATCGTCGCTATCCGGAAACATCGCAATGCGGTCGAAAACTCACCGTTATGCGAAGATCCTCCATAGCGCCGCCATTTTCGCCGCCTTGGTAAGCGAGGAAATTGCGCAAAAATGGTTGTGGTGGCCATTTTGGGCACCCGGCAGCCATTTTGGAACCGCCAATCAGCTGTTCCGCAAACATCGCAATGTGAAGATCGGTAAGCGAAACGCTTACCGATCACCGCAATGCGATGTTTAGGCTATTAAAACATCGCAATGTGATTGCATTAGTGATCCCAAAAAATAGATTGCTATGCGGATTCGTTGTTAAACGGTGCGCTCGTTATGTGAGGCACCACTCTACATATAATCTTCAGACTGACTTTTTTTTTTAAAAAAAGAGCATATTCCTCCTCCCAGCCCTTGTGTTTAATTCCCCCCTTATCACTACTGTGCTCCTAGAGTGCATTTTTGTGCAGTCTCAACCTAAGTTCAAAAGCTTTCTTCAAAGAGATCCGTCCAGACCTCTGACCCATGTTCTGAAATGAATCATTTTAGTTACGTTTTTCCTTCTGCAACATGCTATGTGTTGCAAGGGGGCAGGGAGGATGGGGGGGGAAGAATGTGACAGAGAGAGAGAAAATTGTGGGAGGGGGAGCACTAGCATGTGTTCCCTAACAGGCTTTCACTACTGGTTGTGTACCTTGAGAGTGGAATGGTTTCTCACTCTTGCAGTAGCATTTGAAGGCAGAATTAACAACAACAAAATTATACTAAACCAAAGATTCTAGGTTGAGAGACACTGAAAGGAGATGACTTTGCATTACAGGTATTATCCGAAGCCAGCTGATGGAAGGGAAGTTAGATGATGTAGAGCAGCAGTTGGAGTTCCTGAATGAAATCCAGCAGTCTATCGGGAAATCAGCAGTAAGAGAGTGGTCCTTTCCAGAAGTCTTCTGATTCCAATCTGATTGACACTGCAGTTCTGATAATTACTGTCTTTGAATATTTATGTGGAGTGAAAGTTCTTAACTGAGGTCTCCCATTTTCCTTGTCTGCAGCGTTTGGGCTTGGGGCTCCCAAAGCAAGAAATAATTATATTCAGAACTCGGCAGGGCTGATCCTACCATGAGGCGGAATGGGGTAGTTGCCTCCCAGAGTGAATACTGGAGGTGGCAACCAAGTTTTGAAAGAGAGTGTGGTATGCAGTGCAGCTAGTCTGCAGTCTTCAAGGGTGGTGGTGGGAGACGTTGTTCCGCCCATGCTGAAGTTGACTTTGATTGTCAGTCCTGTCAGCTTCTCAGCATGGAATACGAAAAGGTCGACATCTTATTCTCTCCTTCAGGCAGCAAAATGTCTTGGGCAGGTGGGATATGAAATGAAGTGACTGCATTACAGGAATTATCTGGAGCCATCTAGTGGAAGGAAGTGTATGGGTAGTGTTTTGAATGAAGATCTTAATGACATACTTCAATGAAGGTCATTGAAAATGGAGTCCAATAAAACAGAAATGATAGCAGCTCAGTTTTTAAAAGTTATCACATTTATCAGACATACAAGGCAAGAAATACAATATCTCAAATGTGTATAGAAATGGAATTTCTGTGGTCAATCTTTATAAACTAAGTTTATAAATAAATTTGTTCTAAGTCCAGTTTGGAGAGCAGGCACATCTGAAGCTCTGCTGGCTTATTGAGGCCAAGGTAAGAGATGAGACAGCAGCTTTATTTATCCCCACTATCACCATTACTTCCCCTTCCATTGATTTCAGTGGGAAATAATTTTAAGCATCACCTCCAGAGCTGAGGTTGGTTTGAACCCCTTTCTGGGGTGTTTTGAAATGAGAAAGCTTAGGATGTTGCAGATCCATGGCCTTCACTAACATACTGCTGGAACACTGTGCTTCTGGTGTCATTTTTAATAGAGCACTGCAGAACAAATACCAGGGAATGTGCTACGGAACAGAGTTTCTGAATTAGTGACCTGGTCTCTTGAGGAAAATTCCTAGTTAAAAGTGGTTCCAGTAAAACTAGGTCTGCAAGTCCAGTAAGTTTACAGCTATGCTGCATAATATTCTGTTTCTTTTATAGGAACTATCTTACCTGCGTGCAGTGTTGGCTATGAAGAAACATAAAAAACAGGAAGACGTTATTACTTTACTGAATGATGTCCTTGATACTCATTTTTCATCTTTGCAAGGTTTACCTCTTGGTGTAGAATATTTTGAGAAATTAAACCCTGACTTTTTAATAGAAATTATTAAGGAGTATCTGAATTTTTGCCCTGCACAGGTAATATGTTCAGCTTCTTGGCCTTCTGAAATCAAGATGGATTATTATTAGTTGGTTTATAACTATTTGTGCTCAGATAGTGTTCATATTGAAGAGAGAATAGTTTTGAAAAGAATCACCAAGATTCTAAGCATTACCAGGTATAAGGACTGAACAATGATTTATACTGGAGTAGCCTCCAAAGTATTAGGATTTTTAAAATACTGTTGGTAAATAAGTCTAATTTTAAAAAAAGACCGTTTATTAGTAAGAAAATTACCATAATACAAGTTAGATATACTGTATGCCATTAAAAAGGTGTAATGGAAATGCATAATTTATTGACATAGGAGCTACAAACATGTTCTTGGTTCTTGTGTGACAAATGTATGCTAACATGTATTTGGGGGTAAAAAATAAAAGGTGAGCAAAAGATGATGGAAGGGATTTATGACAGAATATGCAAACCTATGTCCTTGCTCATCTTGTTCTGAATTTTAAAAGGCAAAAACCCAATCTATATACTTTCAAGGATAAAGGTATCTGTTAAATTGATTTCTCAGTAGAGTTTGTTGGTTTGTTTTCTAGCCTGCAGGTCCAGGCCAGCCTGTGTCTCCACTTCTCAAGCCGTGTGCGTCTGTCCTGGAAACTGTGGTAAAAACAGTTCCTGGTCTCCTGCAAGCTGCCTATTTAGTTGCAAAGGTTAAATATTTGGCAGGTAACACCTGATTTTGAACCTGTGTAAATAACAAAGTTGCTTTGAAAAGACGTTTTGTTCCATGAAATCTGATCCTTCAAACCCCATTTAAGACAGGAGTAGGGAATGAAGCCCTCTCAAAGGAAGTAGATATAAAGAGTGATGAATGGTTAGTACTCATAGAAGGAGGTGATGGACAACTAAGACTAAGAACAAGAGAAGAAATGAATCAGATATAACATGTCAGTGGTTTCCATATAGACAGTTATCAGAAAGAATGAAAATGGATCACAAATTAATAGGAGTGGTTAAAGAATCTACAGAACTAGACAATATGGGGAAAAGAAAATCACCAAATTGCAAAGTTGTATAAATTATTATTGGAAAGAAATATGGAACAGGAAGTAGGTAAGGAGAATATGATAAAATGGATGCAGGAATTAGGTAGAAGAATTCAAACAGAGGATTGATTTAGAACATGGAATGATAATAAAAACTATTAATAAGTACAGATCTGAAAGAAAATTATATGAAATAAGTACAGATCTGAAAGAAAATTATATGAAAATTTTCATATAATTTTCTTTCAGATCTGTACTTATTAATGGTATATTAATGGTATATGACACCAGAGAAATTGGCAAAGGTGAAGAAAAATAAGAAAGATAAATGTTGGAGATGTGAAACTACAAAAGGAACACTATATCATAAGTGGTGGGGATGCAAATCTATTAGGAAATTTTGGAAAGAAATAGAAAAAATAATTAGCATAGATTTAAAAATAACAATGGGAATGAAACCTGAAACATATTTGTTAAATATGATAACATTAAATTTGAAACAAGAGACAAAAATTTGCTTCTATATATTAGGAGCAGCCAGAATACAAGTGACAAAACAATGGAGGAAAGACAAGGAGGAACCTTGGTGGAGGATTGTTTAATAAAACTACAGGAATTAATATTAATGGATAAATTAACAGACTCATTGAAAGGAAAGAGTAGAATGGAGCACGAATCCCAGTGGGGGAAAGTAAAGAGTTATCTTAGAGAAAAATGGAAGAAAGATTCCAAACCTTTACCAAGTGACTCAGACATAAATTAGATGTAGAACTGCTCTCAACTGGTAGAGGTAAAAAATGAAGTAAAGCAGATTGTTAACATAGATACATAAAATAAGAATTAATATCTATCTATCTATCTATCTATCTATCTATCTATCTATCTATCTATCTATCTATCTATCTATCTATCTATCTATCTATCTATCTATCTATTTATTTATTTATTTATTTATTCCATCTATACCCCGCCTATCTAGTCATTGCGACCACTCTAGGTAGGAGGTAAAGATGTTAAGACTTACTATTTTGCGTAAGAGATAATAGAAAGTTATCTTGGTTATGTGCTTACATTGTGATAATTATTTACTTACTTTGTTCTCTTTTTTTAATGGCAATAAACTTAAAAAAAAAAAAAGGTGTAGGGAATATGTGGCCCTTTAAACTTTCTTTGTATTATAGCTCACACTGGCCCTAGCCAGCATTACCAAGAACAAGGGATGGCCTGGGAACTGCAGGCCAGCAATATCTGGAGGGCTGCCCCTTCCCCCATTGGTAGGATACGCCAAGTAGTTGGCATACTGCCAAGAACCTAGGTTGACCTTAGAGACTGGGCTCTTTGTAGGTAAGAGAGAAGGTGCCATCTGTGATGGTAAATTGTTCAGTGGCCAGAACAGCATCTGAAGGTTTCAAGTTTCTCTCTCCCACCTTTTCTTTTATCCTTTGTTCACCTGGAGCAGGAAATGCAGAAGCATCCCAGGATATCCTGCAGCACTGTATAGAACAGGATCCTTCATATGCAGATGCTCATCTCCTTATGGCTCAAGTTTATTTGTTGCAAAACAACTTCAAGCTCTGTTCCCAGTCCCTGGAGCTCTGCCTCAGCTACAACTTTGAGGTAAACTTGAGTGAGAAGAAGAAGGAAAAAAAAAACTAATATTGTGTGTCAAAGTTCTCTATTTTAATTGCACCATGCCGTGGAAAGAAATCCCATCCATAATGGAAAGAATGTCTAGTCAGACATCACAGTAGCATCTGAGCCAGATTTAGTAAGTGGCAGGTGCTATACAGCCAGGAAATTGTCATTTAGTGCTATGGCGGGAATCTGAAAACCCAGTTTAGAACCTTTTGATATGTTCAGCCACAGCAAGCAGAATTTGCTGATGGTCATGTGGGACCTGGGAATACAATTTGTGAATTTTCAGGACACCTAGTTGTTAGTCTGCTGTATTTGAATAAGTAAATCGTGTCATCTCTGTAAGTTATCTGTTCATTTATGATAATATATCTGATACAGCGTCTTCGACCTTGTCAGCAATAAACACCATAATCATGAGAAGGAGTAGGAGTAGGAGGAACAATAGTTGAAGTTGCTCATCGTCTCCTTCTCTTGAATGAACTAAACTGTATGTGCTGTGCTCTCAGGGATACAACAAATAATACTAAAGCACTTGAAGGAAGGGGAGGGAAGAAAAAAGGCAGAATTTGACCATGCCAGGAAAAACAAGTTGGCGGGGTAATAGACCTTTATATACACGTTTAGGCATCGCCTAAAGTTGGCATGCTGATTTTTCCTTGCTTGTGTTTTTCCTCCAGGCAGAAAAGGAGTTCATCCTTCCTGTGGTGTCATTGATGGGGCAAAAACTAAGGTCATAAAAATAGAGAGCCATATTGGTCTCCAAGCCACTTGTACTGAGCCTTAAGAACAGTGAAGATAGCTGCCCTGGTTTATTCTTAGTGGCATGACCAAAGATGAAGGGCTAAATCCAATTGTTAGTCCCAACTAGCAGAAACCCCGTGAATGAATGGGATTCATTAAGTTGACAGTTCTATAAACCTCATAGATTCAATGTATCTACTGTATTCAGGGCTAACAATTGGAAGTAGCCTTCCTGTTGAAATGTAGCCACCTTTGCTCCTAGGGTCTAGAGCTCATGCTACATGCAACGCTCAGTTTCTCTGAATCCTTCTGCAGTTTTGTTAACTCTAAAATGATGTTTGAAAGATTGGAGAAAATGGCACCTGGGGTCCTTTTTACGAAGTTCAGCCATTCTATAGTGCAGAGATGGTGAATATATGGCTCTCCAGATGTTCGGCTGAGCTCCCATTGCCTCTCACAGCTAGGACTAATGGGAGTTGTAGTCCAACAGTATCCAGAGAGACACATTTCCCCATCTCTGCAATAATGCTTTTGATAATAGCTCAAAACAATGTACATATCAGCCAGAAAGATGAAGATGATTTGATATGATGAATGATCTTTCATATTTTCTTTTATTTCTTATTTTTTTAAAAATCCTGAACACAGATGCTGATTCTTTACTTTTTACCAGGTTAGGGAACATCCTGTATACCACTTAATAAAAGCTAAAGCCCAAATAAAGATGGGTGAAATAGCAGAAGCCGTTAAAACCTTGCAGATGGCAATGAATTTACCAGGAATGAGAAGTGTTCCTTCTTCAAAATCAAAAATGAAAAAGATAGAAATTGATGGAAGTGATCGTGTGTCTGTCTATCTAGAACTGGTAGATGCTCATCGTTTAAATGGGGAGCAGGTATGACAAGATGAAGCATGCAGATGTAATGCTAATATAATCTTCTGGTGTGGTTTGCCAATTCGAGACACAGGTTATCATCTTTGTAATTTGTGGAATCCCAAAAAGATTTGTGATTGTCCTGCTAGCAGTGACAGATTGATTTCATTCAGCTATCATACAGAACTTTTGTTTAGTGAAATGTGAATGAGCCTAGCCTCCCCATAACTCACATGCTCCCTCTCCTCTTAGCTTTTAGAGAAGCTTTTAAGCAAATTGTGGTTCACGTTTAACTATGGTCAGCTCCAAAACAAGCCAGCTTTATTAACCATGTTTTGAACATGGTTAAAACTTAGTACTGTTAATATTCACCACCATTTTACTGACAAAGTCCAAAATAGAGTAGTCCTAGATCAAGCTGGAATTTTTAGTATGTATACATTACTGAAACAGTGAGGTCTACGCTGTCTTGGGCATGTTCTGAGAATGGCTGATGGTCGGATTCCAAAAGATCTCCTGTATGGAGAATTAGTGCAGGGAAATTGCCCCAGAGGGAGACCACAGCTAGGATACAAGGATATCTGCAAGCGGGATCTGAAGGCCTTGAAAATGGGAAACCCTGATATCTGAGCATTCAGCCTAGAGGCAGGCGGTGCATCACGGCCTCTTCTAATTTGAAGAGACCCTTGTCCAGCAGGCCAAGGCAAAGAGGCAGTCCCGAAAGCAGCAAAGTCAGGGAGCTGGACAGGGTACAGATTGTATTTGTCCTCAGTGTGGAAGGGATTGTCACTCTCGAATTGGCCTTCTCAGCCACACTAGATGCTGTTCCAAGTCCTCCATGCAGAGCACGATACCATAGTCTGAGACTGAAGGATGCCTATATATGTTTACTGTCTTGGACACGAAAAACAGAGGTTAATCAAAACCTTTGGAATTCCTCTTCATCCCAGCCACTAAGAAAACATAATAAGCTGCATTGCATTAGAAGCAGAAGCTTCCAAACTCATCTCTGTCTTGCAGAAGGAAGAAAGGAGGCAAGCCTGAGCAAGGGTAGATCTGTTGGTGTCTTGCTAAACCAGAAGTTGGAAACATCTGAACCCAGCCATTTAAAAGAGGGCAAAAGGTTTCCTAACTCCCCCCACATTTGTGCTGGATATTTATTTAGAAACCAGAGAAAACAGTCAAATAAAGTGTCCCATGTAGTCATTTTTGTCACACTGATAGCTTTTAAAGCAGTGATTCCAAAAGTTTGATCTGATGTGTGTTCTATGTAGTTTGTGAAACTACTGTGAAAACAGAAGAAAAATAAAACATGGAATACCTTTTAAAGATGCAGATGCAGCTCCTGTATTCCCACACAGCTGCTCTGTGAATACTCGGGAAAGAAGATACACATGCTTGTACTAGCTCTGCCTCAAGATTTTTGTGTAATGCTCCCTCATTTGATTGTGCTAGTCCTCACTGTTGTGTTGCCTTCTCTGATTAAGTGTCTCATGACACAGAACGTGTGGTAGCCATGTTGTTGTATTAAATAGAAGGCGCTTAGCTTTGGACGAGAGAGGAGGCAGTCAGCTTCAGAAAGCCTTCTTCCAGGTCATGGAAGGGCTAAGTCTCTCAGTGTTCTTGCTTTTATCCAAGGCTTGGAGAAGTTACTTTTTTGGACTGCAGTTGGTAAAGTCCCTCACTTGATCCCACCTGCATGTTGATTGCACAGATGTTGAATGCATGGATAGGGCTAATGAGAATATCATTCACAACAGATCAGCTTCCCTGAAATACAATTTGCTCAGTGCCACCAGTCTTCCTTGCCAGTGCAGGATGGCAGAAATGTATTGGGTGTATTTTATTGTATACTATTCATCCAAAGCAGTTATGAGCCCCATTGTGTTTGGCTCAGCCTTCTCTTGAACCAACTGTTTATCTTAAATAACATCCTTTTCCTGTTGTCTATGGTGTTCAGTACTTGCTAGAAGTTAAAATGATTGAATTGAGGTTAATGTGCTTGGGACATGATCTTGAGAAGAGAAGACTTGCTGGAAAAGACAATAATGCCAGGAAAAACAGAAAGCAGTAGGAAAAGAGGAACACTGAAGATGAGATGCATTGATGCAGTAAAGAAAGCCACAGGTGTGAGCAGGGCCATTAGTGGCAGAACCTTTGCAGATCATTCATTCATAGGGTCACCTTAAGTTGGAAGCAGATTGACGGGAGGTAGCAGCAACAGCGCAGTGTACAGTGTACGACCCCAGTACACTGCACTCTTGTTACATGCCATCAACAAACTAATTGATCTTGAAGGGGATCCTTGGAAGTACATTGTTTTGAAATTAAAGTTTTATAGGAATGTTTAAGGCACAGAAGCCTACATTTTACAAAAGCTGTGTTTATTTTTGAAGCATGAAGCAATCAAAGTCCTCCAAGATGCCATCAATGAATTTTCTGGCACCCCTGAAGAGCTGAGAGTCATGATTGCTAATGCAGATCTAGCTCTTGCCCAAGGAGATATAGAAGGGGCATTGACCATGCTGAGAAGTATCACACCAGAGCAGACCTACTATGTTCAAGCCAAAGAAAAAATGGCAGAGATCTATCTGAATTACAGGAAAGACAAGAAGCTATATGCAAGCTGTTACAGGTAAGAGCTTGGACTGCCAAAAGAATACTCTATCCTACTCCTTTTCTGCTTTTTCCTCCGCTGCAAAAATAAATTGTGCCACTCAAAAGTGCTATAAATAGATATTCAGTATGACATTCATTTGAAAACACTTGCTTCATGTTGCTAGATGTAAATAAGGACATACACAAACATACTATTGCCTCTTTTTTAAAAAAACACCAAGTCCTTTGACTAACAACTTCATTTAATGGAGCACTGAAGATAGTTTGCAGTTAGGCACCCTGTTTCTCAAGGAACTTGAACCGAAGGGCTCTAAGCAGGCAGGAGTCAGAACCATCTACACTGACCCCAGATTTGCATTATTTCTGCATGTGTACAGAGGGCAGGAGGGCTTCAAAACTGGGACTCCTCTGGGGTGCAGAGAGGAATCAATTTATGGCCACCCTGTCACTGTGGATCTTATGACTGAATGATGTTTGGGGATCACTCAGCTTCTTCAAACCAGACAGCACGGAGAGGACAGTGGTCTCCAGGGCTCCCACATGAAGGGCAAAAAAGCTTCCTCCTATTTTAATTGCTTTCTCCTGATACCTTTTGTTTTGGTTAATGATGGTCCCTTTTGCCTTCTAAGCTCTTTTTTTAACTTAATATAACTGCATGTTGACATCACACATAGTGATTACGAGCATTAGCCTAACTATCCTTGTGTGCATTTCCTCCTCTGGTATGCCTGTGAGGAAGAGAGCACAAATTCTGGTTCCATTTTGAGTTAACTGCTGCATGCCTTATCATCTGACTCCATAAACTATTGTTTGAAGTTGGCTTGTTCCTTATTCTTTTCTGGAAAGATGGAACTATTAATCAAGAAAGGAAGCAAACACTTCTACACTTCTCCTCAGAGGCTCACCAGAGAATGAAAGAGCAGAGCAGAGCTTGGAGGGAGGTTAGATATATTGTGATCATGCTGTGTTTTGTCCAAGCCAACCTGGTCTTTTCCATGATTCCCAATAGCTATAGCTCTGCTGCCAAAAAACGACAACAAAAACAAGTGGTGTGTAGGTTTAGACATTTCAAGTAAACAAAGATTTCCATGACAATGACTTGTCTTGTTTTTTTTCCCTCTAGTACGTGAAAGTTATCTTCTCTTGCTAAATTGAAGTTTCTGAAGGGAACACGTACATGTTTATTGCCTGTCTGTTCATAAACAAAACCCTGGGGCACAGAAGCCTAGCTTACTTCACCAGCAATAACACCAATTACTTGTTTCATTTTTTTTTCTTTGTAGAGACCTGGTAGAGAAATTGCCAAGTTCTCACACCTTTCTTCTCCTTGGTAATGCATATATGAATATCCAGGAGGTAAGCATCTACAGCATTAAGGTGCTGTTTATCGAATGAACATAATTGTTGTAGAAAGGCATCGTCTACGCAAGGACATGGTCTGTCTGAGCACAGTAACAGTGCCGGAAGAGGTTGCCATGGAGCTCAACAAAGCCTTGTACCATCCTCTGTCCCCAGAACTACTATGGATACCTATATAGATACGCACCCCCAATCTGTCTCTCCTGACACTTGGTTTAGCCTGTGTGCAAGTGATTGAATGAGGATGCAGCAGATACACATATCTTCCTATACCCGTAATAGCTCAGCACACGGTGAATAGCTAGATAGCTCAGTGGATTAAGGCATCTGGCTGCGGAGCCAGAGGTTGGGAGTTTGATTCCCCAAATGTGCCTCCTTGACAGGGGCTGGACTTGATGATCCAGAGGGTCCCTTCCAGCTCTGCAGTTCCAAGATTATTGTTGTTAATTTAAAGCCACCCTGGGCTAATGTTTATTCCTATTATATACATAGTTGGGTGGAACAAGTGACATTTGCACTTAACTCCAAAACATTTTTAATCTGTAGCTGGCTGGATAGCTCAGTGAGTTTAATATCTGGCTGGGGAATTCAGAGGTTGGGAATTCAGTTCTCCACTTTGCCTCCAGTGCGCAGAGCCAGCCTGGGTGGCCTTGGGCAAGCTGCACAGTCCCAGGGTGCCCCCCAGAGGAAGGGAATGGTAAACCACTTGTGAGTGCACTTTATCAAGGAAGTCCTGAAAAGAGTCCACCATAAGTCAGAATTGATTTGACGGCACATCATCATCATCGTTGTTGTTGCTGTTGTTAGGCAGGACAACCCCTCACTAGGCCAGCCATATTAGATTTTTCTCTAAGCATCCTCCTCCTGACACCAGCTCTCTCAGTTGCTTGCACTGAAAGTAGCTTCAGGCCCACTCATTTGCTTCTCTGATGCCCAGAAGCTGAGCGGGGCTGTGCACTCTATCCTAGTCGTCAGACTGCCTTAATGGCCAGGCCCTTTGCTTACAGAGGCTGGCTGAGGACTCTGCAGTACACAGTGGAGGAGTCTCTTCCCACTTCCCCTCCATCAGCAGGAGCAGTTCAAATCCTTAAGTCCATTACCTCTTCACCAGGCTTAGAGGCTGCTTCTTTCCATTCAAATGTACTGTTTTTGTTTGTTGCTATTGATTTTCCTGCCTTTCTGTAATTTTTTATTTCCTGCGCCAGGTGGAATGTCCTGGCTTCATTTTTCCTTCACAGATTTCTATTTCAGGGATATTCTTGGTCAGTGGGAAGGAACCATCCAGTTATGGTTTAGTCCCACAATTGCCCAGGCAAGGTAAGGGTGGGGCTAAAGTGGTCAGTGGGAAGGAACCATCCAGTTATGTTTTAGTCCCACAATTGCCTAGGCAAGGTAAGGGTGAGGCTAAAGCTGGAGTCTCTCTCTCTCTCTCTCACACACACACACACACACACACACACACTCACACTCACACTCACACTCACACTCACACTCACACACACACACTTGTGTCCCATTGGCTCTGCCTCAGTTTCTTTCCTCTGCCTTCTCCGAGTCAGGCTCTCCTTGCTTACTTCCTCCTCTGCCACTTGGCTTTGCTGCTGTCCAGATCAAAGGCTGCTGAGACTTCTCTGTAGTTTTTTCTCTTCTGTTCTCCTCCATTCTCAACTCTGGGTGCTTAGTTTAATTTTTAAAACCCTCTCTTCCCTTTATTTTATACTGATTCTCTTTCTGCTCTTCCCTACCTCAGCATGGCTTCCTGTGCCCAGGCCTTAAAGAGAGAAAAGTACAAAAGTCTGTGTCAAGAATCCAAGATAGTTAAGGGCTCCCAAGGTGCCAAAGTTTTATTTCCGATATTGCCGGAGCCAGTGACTGTACTACGCCAGGCACTTTTGTTGCTTCTTTGAACCTTTATTCTCTGAGCCAGTGATTGGGTGTTGCTTTCCTAATTCAGGTGCAACAGATGCTTCCAGGCAATGTTCTGGTTTATGAAAAAGTAAAGGTTTGTTGCAGTTTTTGATCTAGGATTGTTTGACTCCCTGCCTTGAAATTTGGGTTCTGCTGAGCTTGGTCACAGTTTGGGACAACCACTACTAACGATACTTGTTTTCAGCCACAGTAAACTTGTACACGGTGTTTTCAAGTTTTTTAAATATGATTGGTTTTTACATTCTTGACTTTCTGCACCCATGTTTTAGCCTGAAGAAGCAATAGAGGTTTATGAACAAGCTTTGAAGAGGAATCCTAGAGATGGCACTCTGGCTCGTAAAACTGGGAATGCTTTGGTCAAGACTCACAACTATTTGAAGGTACACGAGGAAGAGTTTAGGCCAGACTTTCTTAAGTGATAGCTTTCAAATGTTCTAGCTTCTGTTCACTATCCTTTCATGGCTGTGCTGGCTGAGAATGGTAGAGGGTGTAATCTAGCAAATCTGGAAGGTTCCTGTATAATCATTTTTGTGATATTCCAGGGGAAAAAAATAATCTTCCCTGTAGAAGAGGACACATTTGTGAATGTTAATGTGCCCTCAGACAGTGAAAAGCAAGCAAACAATCCTAGCAGTGCAAAGAATTTTGAATATCTTGCTTTGACATTACTAGTTTCTCTCCCCCCCCCGCCCATCATGTGAACACGTAGGTTTTTCTGCGAACATGGAAGTAATGTTCAATTCCTCTAAAAATGAAGCAGGTGTTATCATTCTGACCAGGATATAGATAAAAACAGGCCAAATTGAAAGAAAGGGGAGGTGTTTAAGTGTACAAAGAGGACACCCAGATAAGTAGTGCATTCCCTTTAACCCTCATTTCTTCTAGAATTCTTTAAACTTCTAAGGGATAACCTCCATAAAGTGTCTTTGTGGGATGGTTTGGACATCAAAGAGAAAAATGTTTTCTCACCAAGGATCATTAAAGTTGCAAAGAGCACGTAAGAGTTTATAATCTTCTGGAGATGGGGGGATAGGAAGGTATCTCCTAGCAACTATCAGAACAAAATAGGGAAATATCTAGAAAGTATCTTCCTTGATCTTTGCTCCATTGTTTACAGTTATTAATCTGTGTAAGAAATGGACACATTCCATGATGTTGTAAAGGTGTCTTAAGTTTCAAAAACATAGTTTTCCACTTGTAAGTCAAGTGTTTTTTCTTTCTTTCTTTCTTTTAATCTTCTGCAAATGCTTTAGAAATGTCAAGTGTTAAGTTTGTTGGTTGGGGATTTTTTTCTAGGCAATAAATTATTATGAAGCTGCTCTGAAAACTGGACAACAGAATTTCCTTTCTTACGATCTGGCTGAACTGTTACTGAAACTGAACCAGTATGAAAAAGCTGAGAAAGTCCTCCACAAAGTTTTAGATCATGAGTCTGGTATGTATGCATGTACGTACAGTAGTACCTCGGTTTACTAACGCCTCAGTTTACGTAATTTTCAGTTTATGAACAGAAATCTGTTGAAAATAATGTCTTGCTTTATGCTTTTGGGGTTTTTTGGGGGGGGTTGCAAAGAAAGTTTCCCCAGGATGCTTTATGCCTGGAGGTTTGTAGCGCCGCCCCTGTTCCTATGGCAATCCGCATTTCGGTTTGCGAATTTTCCGCATTACATAACATTCCGGATAATGCATTCATTTTGTAAACTGAGGTACTACTGTAAGTATTTAATTATTCATTAAATTTTTTTTGCCCCACCTTTCTCTTAGATTCAGTGTTTTCTTTTTAAATTCACAGATTGGTGCACATAATGTGACCAAGTAAGAAACCTTTCCAAAAGTTAGTAAGAAATTACTGACATCCTGTTGCATAGCTCTGTGTGCACAGCAAGAATAATGTCATCAGTGAATGCAGTGGGAATGGCAGCAGCAGCAGCAGCTGTAAATCACCACTGATTAAAGATTCCTTTGGCAATTTCAGGGGTGCAGGCAGCTAGTGCACAGTGCATCAAAGTCACATGTACCAGGAATGACAGGAATAATCATTGGTGATTTACAGCTGTTGTTGACATTCCCATTGTACTTGCAGAGCTGCACAACAGGATTTCAACCAATGTACATTAATCATTTTACTCCATTTGCTTCAGGGATATGTATTTTGTGTTGGCATGTGTAAGAAATAGTTGAACTTTGGTGCTTTTGCATATATTTTGATGGTAAACATAAAATAAGCCATGTTGGATCAGACCACAGGACTGTCTGTCTAGTTCAACCAACCCCCCCCCACACACATATAGATAGATAGACAGACAGACTGACCGACCCTCTTTCAAACCACTGAAGAACAGTCATTTGGATCTAAAGCATAACGGGTGCCCCGTTTAACGACGAATCTGCATAACGACGATTTTTTTGCGATCGCATAACGATGTTTCCTATGGGGGGGAAATCACTTTGCGATGATCGGTAAGCTGTTTCGCTTACCGATTTTCACATAGCGATGTTTTTTCCCCAGCTGATCCGCGGTTCCAAAATGGCCGCCGGGTAAAACAGGGACAGATTCCTCGCTTACCGGGCAGCTAAAATGGCCGCCATATGGAGGATTTTCGCTTAAAAGGTAAGTTTTAAGCCCATAGGAACGCATTCCAGGGATTTCAGTGCATTCCTATGGGCTTTTTAATTTTGCATAGCGACGAATCTGTATGGCGACGATTTTTGCTGCACGGATTATCGTTGCTATGCAGGGCACCACTGTACTTTTCTGTTCATGGAAGAAGTCTATTCATAAACAACATTCATTGAGTTCAAGCTCTTAGTTAAAATGGTCAGGGTGTGTGCGTTGTTCTGTTGTTTGTTTATTTGGCTAATATTCACCATTGCTAATATTCACCATCCTGTTTTGGAAGATATCTTAACAGAGGGGGGATTGACACCTCCCTCTCAAAAGACCAGTTACATAATCCATTAGTATGTGCAAGGAATAGCCTTTCTGCTAGTGGAATTCTGCCCAGTGCATCTTAGGATCTATCCTACCAATAAAGATATACAGTATAATGTTAACCCAACAACTTTGGACTCCTTTTCCATGGCTATTTATTACATTTTCCAGCATTGACTTGTACAATATAGGGCTTAAACAAAACCATATATTAGACAAGTCAATGCTGCTTGTGGAAGCTGAGCTGAGACTAAGCCATGAACAGCATGAGGTTGATGGAGACTAGAAATGTGTCTTAGGTTTGATCTCTTCATCGGGGTCCTGATGACTTTGGTGATGTGAAAGCCTATTTTTAAATGGGTTGACAGAAAACAAATATCAGTGACTTTGGCTGAAATCCTGTTGCTTAACATAGTAAATTGCATTATAATAGGCTTATTGAATCAGTAGGGATTTGTTGAGTCAGCTCTTCTGTTGATTCAAAAGGGCCTACTCTAGATGCGACTTACTTTAGTCAGAACTAAAGTAGACCCATTTGAAACAATATAACTTACAGAGGATCCCGTCCTTCATGTTTGTATTTCTTTGGCATCTCTTTGTGTATTCTACTGTGATGCACAGTGAGATTTGTGCAAGCCTGCTCCCTTAGGAGATACATCTCCTTCTTCATCACAGCAGCAGTCAGTGAGTCAGGTTTAACATCAAAAGGTTTATTTGCATTAACAAACACAGGGTCTCTCAACTTTAGTCAGAGTAGAACTTAAGTTCTCCCCTTCCAGACTCCAATCCTCTTTCTTAATGTCCTCTGAGCCTAAGGTATTACCTTGTAATAAACTAGCAACTGGTAACAAGGACACATGCCAACTCACCAATGGGCTTACTTGTGGAAAATCCATCCCACATTGGGTTCCTATTGCCTGGGTCTCTCTGGATTCTGGGTGGCATTTGTTTTTCTCCTGTTTTTTCCTGAAAAAAATGTTTCAGAAATTTTACATCTCTAGGAACACCGCCTGTTTCTACTTGTTTCACAGTGTGTTTGTGTCATGCTCAGCTTCTTAATCTTGAAGAATGAGAAAGACACATGTTAAATTTAGCGTCACTCTATTGGCGATCTTTTGGCTCTGTGTTATTATGGCTCTTAGCTTTTTCAGTAAGGAGAAAAGTGTGGAGAGTGTATTCAGTCTTAACACCCTCCTTTGGAAAAGTGGGGGGGAATGATCTGCGTGGATGCTTCTTGGCCAAAGGAGACAAAAACATTTTTCTTTGCAGTCCATGCTTTGGTTCATTTTTAGAGATGGGGTATTCGTATTCATATACAAATATCCGCGCACAGGTGGAAATAACGAGGGTCCCACCACATGGGGCCGGACTGTCCGCTCACGATTTCACTGCAGATGCCAGCTCCGCAGAGGCTTCCTATCATGCTGTTCTCCGCAATGGATTAGCCACTCTCCAACCCAGCAGAGAGGCTTATCATCCCGTCTCCTGCCAGGACTGGTTAATCGATTGCGGACAATGGCACGATAGGAAGGTCTGACGAGCTCGCATCAGTGGCGAAATCGTGAGTGGACCGTTTGGCCCCATGGGGCTGGACCCTCGTTTTTTCCACCTGTGCGCCAATATTCGTATACGAATACCCTCATCTCTGTGCCTTTTGTATGCCCTGTGGAGCTACATCTCCATACATCTGTCTCGAAAGAGCAGAGGATGGGGAAGAGAGGGGAAAGGAGGTCTCCAAAATGCAAGAGGCATGGAAAAGATCTCTGTGCTTAAGTGCAATGTGTCCTCCTTCCTCACCAACGCCAGTTTTAAAGGAGAAGCCTGCAAGATTTTCATTTTCCAGCAGAAGTGACCCTAGGGGAGGTGCTGCTAAAGAGGAAGCTAGGGAGTGTAACACTTCGGTCACCTCCTTGATCATCAGCCTAGATTAAATGGGTTCTTTTGGAATGAACTGGGACATATTTTTTTTCTAATTCTTCTGTAAATTTCCTGGTGGCTTTGTTTGCCTTTTGACCAACCCCCTTTAGGGCATCTCAACTCATTCCTGCTAATTTGGAATACTAATTTGTCCAATTATAATCTTTTTCTTCCCAAAGTAAATGATCTCTCTTCCCTGATGGAAGATGTCCGTTATCAGGTTCTCCTTGCGAAAGTTTACAGCAAAATGGGGAGCACAGAAGATGCTGTTGTTTCATTGCAACAGGTAAAGAAATACTAAATTAAGACCAAATACCTGTAATTGAAATAGTAATGTACTCTCCCCATGGTTACCCTTACTTCCATGCTTTGTTGTTTTCCTGTGTCCATTCTAAGTGGTAAGCCCTCTATTGAGATGTGTCACAACTGTTCTTTGTAAAGCACGACATAACTACATGTCGCTCTGTAAATAAATGAATTATTTTTAAAAAATGTAAATATGCAGGATTTTTCTGTTAAAGTAGAATCATTATTCTCCACTTTGCTTCCACAGTAAATTTGGCCTCTTAGTGGACCTGAGTGAAAGGACATTGCTGAAGGTTGAATCTCTGTGTCCAGGTTGGATCAGGCAAAACCCTGGCCTTAAAACCTGGAGGGCAAATCAGTGTAGGCAGCATGTGGGCTATGGGTTGTATCATCATTCCCTTTTTTCTTTTTCTTTTTTTATATAAGCTCCCTTGTGCCCTCTGGAGCTTGCAGGGCAATTTTGTCAAGTTTTAAGGCCTCATGGCACCACTGGATTCCCCCCACACACACACACACACAACCCCTCCAATTTGTTTTTAAATTAACCTCTTTGCCCACTAGATGGCACCAGGGGACTTTTTCAGATGAGAATTGGGGTTGGGGTTTTTTTTGTAAGACGAGATGGGCCTTGTCCACCCTGACAGAACTGAGTTTGATAGACAAACAGTCTATGCTGGTATAAGCAGTTTCTTATGGACTGAATCCAAAATTAATCCCAAGTAAAACAGATCCATTAAACCTGTAAAATATGCATGATGATTTACAAATCCCATTCACTTCAGCAGGCCTATATTGTTTGGAAGTAGAATCGGATTTTCCTCAAGAGAAGGCCATCCTTTTAGAGTTTTGATCAGGGAGCCAAGACTGTACAGTATTGCTTTGTATGGCCTTTGGTATTTAAAATTGGTTTTTAAATTTGCTTTTTAAAGTATAGTAAGACCCCCTATCTGTGGAGGATTGGTTCCAATTTCAATAGCTCTGTGGCATTTCTTTTTCAAAGACAATTAAGAATCCATTTCCTCATTTGCCAGGCATCTTAAGGAAAGACCCGGTGGGAAGGCAGGAAGGAGTGGGAGATGGAATAATAATAGCAATAGTGGTGGTGGTGGTGGTGGTAACAGTAGTAGTAGTAGTAAATTCTGGCTTTCTAGAAATAAGTAGGCCCTTCTGAATTGTGTGGCTTATTCAGAGTTTCTCACCCATGTTATTTCCTCCTGTAAGCCATTCTTTTTGCTTTCCTGTCAGGCTCGGGAATTGCAGACCAGAGTCCTGAAACGGATTCAGATAGAGCAGCTGGATGCTGTGCCCGTGCAGAAGCAACTTGCGGCTGAAATCTGTGCCGAGATAGCAAAGCACTCAGCGACCCAGCGGAACTACGAGAAAGCAATTAAATTTTACAAAGAAGCTCTTGTTCATTGTGAGACAGACAACAAGGTCAGCTGTGTATCAGGATTAACCATTTCCCTTCAAGTCTTGCTTTAAACGGCCTGGATGTCAGGATGTGTGCCATGAACTTCAAATAACTTCAGATAGAATAAATGTGTATCTATCCTTTAACCTTCAGGTGATGCTGGAACTTGCACATTTATACCTTGCACACGATGATGTAGATTCGTGCCAACGCCAATGTGCTCTCTTGTTAAAGAATGATCCAGACAATGCAGCAGCTACTATGGTTGGTTGATACCCATGTTGTCTTGAGAAGGGTAATTGGGTTGATGAATTATGTTTTATTTTTTAAATATAAAGATAACTTCTGCAACATGTTTATGGATACATTCATTGTGTTCATGCATTCTAAATTCACTCAAAGTAGGGTGCAAGTAAGAAACTAAATAAATGTCAAAGTAGTAACTAATAAAACAATTTGTAAAACCACTTCAAAATATGATGCCAAAAAGAAGCAAAAAATTGTCACTGTGACAATTAAAGCAGTGGAAGACTTTGATTATGAAAGCATTCTTGTTTGCAGCATAAATTATGTAGAAAGATTGATGAATCTCCCTGGGTTTGGACGTTCCAGAGTGAAAACCACTGGTCCTGCTCCATGCCCCAAATTCGTGGATGACCTGGCAGCACAGGTCTGGTGGAATGTGGCATTTGGAATTTGCCCACATTTGCAGTCTGATAGGAAAAGTCTCTGTGGGTGACATTGTATGCTTTGACTTTTGGAAATAAAGGGATGTTTAGGCATGGCAGAATGTGAGAGTTACATGGAATGGTGCTGGAGGGGAAAGAGCTGGATGTAATGAAGAGATTTTATGAGTGGGAGCTTACAGCCTTGACATAGTACAGAAGCTGTGCAAGAGAGTGACAATTGGAAGTATTGTTGGTGCCTCTGAAAGCAGGCAGGTTGGGTAAAAGCATGATAGCGACGCTTAGTAAGGGACATTTTTAGAAGGTACTTTTTCCCCTTCACACACACCCCCAATTTTGGGGTTTTCTTGAGCAGTTGAGGGTGTGGCCATTATGTAGATATGTTTACCTGATCTTGCAGGATTAAATTGCTGTGGATCACCTTTGTATTGAATTCTGTTTAGTTTGCATGTTGCTTTATGTCTATAGATGATGGCCGACCTTATGTTCAGGAAACAGGACTATGAACAAGCAGTATTTCATTTCCAGCAGCTCCTGGATCGAAACCCAGGTGAGCTTTGCCCTTTTTGTTGCTCCTTTTTTAAAAAAAAATGATTTTACTAAAATTATTCATGTTGATAGGCACAAATGTTACAGAATCTGGAGGGCAGTGCATTGTCCACACTTGTTCTTGTGTGTAAAAAAGTGTCACAAAAGCATGGTCAAATAAGGAGCCATTTCCCAAGACAAGAAGGGGTGAAACCCACTGTAAAAGCAACCAAAAGATTGTATGGGTGATATTAAAATGTCAAAGAGAGGGAGGAAGGAAGGGAGGGATTTGCTTTGGTCTTCTTGCTTTCTCCCAAAGCATCAGTATCTAACCAGGAGAAAGAGATTCCACTGTGGGATGTGAAGGAGGCCAGTGGTTCTGCAGATTTGAAATGGTCTGAAAGTTCAAGCTCAATAAAGGTCATGTAGCTTCTTAAGATCAAATTGTGGTTGGATTGCAGGGTCCATCCACTTCAGCCACCATAACCAATGGATGGTATCCATTGCAGATCATAAGGAGGAACAGAAGTTGTCCAACCTTGTTTTAAGCTTACAGATTTATCATTATGTAAATATTCATGGATAGTTTTGAGTTCATGACTTCTGATTGCATGCTAGGCAAGGATGCTACTCCTAGTTGTCAAACAAGTCATGTTTAGCTGGAGTGAGGACTAAGGCAAAGGACAAGAAAATATTGCGCCATTTTTTAGGATGCCAGAATGCATGTTTGTCACTGGTGCAGGAAGAAAGCATCTTTGTTTCAGTCTTCCAGGTATAATTTGTGAAAATCCTTTCTTAATGGCCAAGATCCTGTTGCTTAGCAACAGTACCATTAGAGTAGACCCACTGAACCAATGGAACTTACAGATGAATTGATTCATCATATCCCCACTACTTCAGTGGGCTCATTCTAGTGTGACTTACTGTGCTGAGCAACAGGGTTTCAGCCAATACATGACATTTAAAGCATTTATTAGCCTGGTATATTAGGAGAGATTGTATCTGATAGGATAAATTATTTGAAAAGCATAGGAAAAGAATGTTTAAACTAGAGATGAGCACGAACCAGTTCATCCTAGTTTGTAAAGGTGATGATGCTTCTCTGACCCGCCTCTTCTGGCTCAATCAGCCACTCAGCAGCCACTCAGCAGGCTGGTATGTAAAGGTGATGATGCTTCTCTGACCCGCTTCTTCTGGCTCAATCAGCCACTCAGCAGGCCCAGCATGCTGGTCTCCTGCACCTCCTCAACAGATCTTCCAGTCCTGGCAAAAGCTCAGGCTTCTCTGCCCCTCCCCTCGTGGTTGAAAGTCCTGGCAAGAGCTCAGGCTTTTCTGCCATGCCCTCGTGGTTGAACTCCCACTCGGACAAAAGGGCGGGGCAGAGACATCCCACTCAGACAAAAGGGCGGGGCAGAAACATCTGGACTCTTGCTCATGACTGGGAGATTAGCCAAAGAGATGGGAAAAACAAGCAAGCTGGGCCTGGTGAGGGTCTGGTCGGCTGGATGTGCTGGAGGATTGTAGGGGTGCCTGGCATGTATCTGGGCCACTGGGAGCCACATACAGGCTACTGGCTATATTTATCCCAGCCCAAATTTGCCCACATGAGCCTAAAACCAGTAGTTCCTGTTAGAACAGCTTGGTTTCCTAAATGTTCTTGGATTAAACTCCCCCAAATCTTAACCATTAGCTCTGCTGGCCAGGATTTCTGGGAGTTGTAGTCCAAGAACATCTGGTGACCCAAGGCTGGGAATCCATGGAATACAACCGTTGAATCCATGACAATTTGATGAGTCAGTACTTACATAATTTACTGATTCAGAGGGTCTACTTTAGTTAGGACTGATGAAAGGATTTAGGCTTTAGAATCTTACATTTGATTGTAGTGCGGATTTTTAAAACCACGGTTGATTTCTACAGTGCTGTGAATATTTGTGTTGACAGATAATTATGCAACACTGTCACGTTTAATTGACCTTCTGAGAAGAGCTGGGAAACTAGATGAAGTTTCAAAATTCCTAACAATGGCTGAGAAACATTCTCCTAGGACAAAACTTGATGCAGGTTTTCACTATTGCAAAGGATTGTATCTTTGGTAGGTGTGGTAAAGTACACTAAATTGATACTGCCCAAAAAGATTTGCTTTACCTTTATTTTCATGGAGCACCAACAGTTTGATACTAGTCTTAATGTCAAGTTCTTTCTACTCAGTGTGAGTAAATGAACTGCTCACCCCTCTTCATGCCAGCTTAACATCCCCTGGTTCTTCATTCTTCCACAGCTCCCTGACTGCTTTTCTGCCCCCTTTTTCTACTAAACAGTGCTTTCTGTCTCTAGCTGAGCCATTTCCCCAAACCCACTTGCCTCTTATGTATGGCAACATGCATGTTCTTTTATTGTTCATTCCTTCACCAGCCATTTCTTCCTTCCTTATCCTTTCCTTCCTGTGGTCCAAGACAAAATTCTGTTGTCATAGAGATGAACTAATTCATTTGCCAAATGTCATGTGAAAAAATATATGTAATTTGATACACTGGACAGGCTTAAAGCAAGATGTCAACAATTCTGCTTTGACAACAACTCTTGTCCCTTCTTCACCTTATATAGTTAACTGTCATTCCTTCTAGGCTGCCTTTCCTTTTAGCTATGCAGAGCCCAACCTTTCTGCTCTCCTCAGTTCTACCTTACTCCTAGTAGCAGAACAGAGCATTTTCCTTCTCTAGCCCCCTGTGAGAGGATCTTTCCTTAGCCATTAGTACTTACTCACAATGTGTTGCCTGCTCTTTGCTCCTCTGCAGCTGGAAATTTAGTACTGTCACAATAGGTCCTCTAGCATGTAGGGAATATCCATCAATATTCATTTTGAAAAATACTGGAGGAGTTTTAAAAATTGTGTTGCTGATACACCTAAATATAGACTTGGATGGGTCTCAGGGTTACATTTTCCTTTTGTTCTAAGCTTAATTAGTACCAGTTCTAAAGTACATTTGATTGCCTGTCTAGGTACACCGGTGAACCAAACGATGCACTTCGGCATTTTAACAAAGCAAGGAAGGACAATGACTGGGGACAGAATGCTGTTTATAATATGATTGAAATCTGCTTAAATCCCGATAATGAAACAGTGGGAGGTGAAGTGTTTGAACATTTGGATGGTGACACAGAGTGAGTCATGATGAGACGTTTATGACTTCTGGCATTTTAATGTAGTACCTTATTTTGACAGATCGTCAGTGATGCTCTGAAGACTTCCTTCAAATTATTTTTGGGTACCAGCGGTGAGGGTCAGGGTGCTGAACTCTGTCCCCATTGCTTCCTATGCTCATTTGAGAGCCATATGGTTGAAGCAAGTGCCTGGTGGAGAAGAGTCAGGTTCAGAGGTCATAATTTCCACCCTTTATTTCTCTTGCAATCAAGGCCATGAGACAGCATTCAGAAAGCTATGACGGGAAGTTCATTGAGCGATGGAGGGTAGACCAGATTTGTGCAAAACGCACCATTGTTGGCTGTACATTTCTTTTGCTATTATTTATTTATTTATACCCCACCCCTCTAGACCATGTCTACTTGGAAATGAGGTCATCATCATTTGTTTCTCCTTTCAAACAAAACAAGGAAAGACCAAGCCTACCAATCCACAGAATATTTTATCCTACCTGAGGTAGCAGTATAATACATACTATGTGACAAAGGGGCAGCAGCCTTCCCCTATGTCTCAGGCTATCTGTGATTACTTCTGTATGATCAGACATGTACCAAGGTAACCACAATAAAGGGTCTGACAATAGTTGCCAATACTGTACTTTCCATAATTTGTTCTAGAACACACCCAGGGGTGTGTCTTGCTGCCCCCTTTTCATTCTTATGGCTCCCAAAGACACAAATGGTGTTCCCAGCACTATAGCGGAGCCAAGGCTCACAGGGATGAAGCCTGGGGACATTCTCAGGAACAGGGGCTATGACATCATCTGCTCTACAGCCCAGCCCAGGTTGCCCTGTTCCCTCCAAACAGTTGCTTGCAGAGAACCTGATTTTTCCAGGAATCGTACATACATTGCTGCAGTTGTAATGTCTGGTCTTAAAGGAACAGCCAAGAGCTATTAGTTTACAAAAGATTTGTTCCTCATTTCCTCAGTGGTTCATATGAAGCAACAGAGCATTTGGGGATTTTTCCTTGTATGGACAAGTAAGTGGCTATGGGACCTGCCATCATGAGTAAACTCCCCTTCCAGATTTCATAGGACGCCACTGGATACTCCTTGCATTTGAAGATGTTTTCTTTTTCTCCCCTTGTTTGTAGTATTTCCACAGAGAAACAAGAGTCTGTACAACTGGCTGTGAGAACAGCAGAAAAGCTCTTAAAGGAACTGAAGCCTCAGACGGCTCAAGGTCATGTACAGCTTTGCATCATGGAAAATTATTGCCTTGTGGCAACCAAGCAGAAATCAAATGTTGAGCGAGCACTAAATGCCTTTACAGAAGTTGTTGTTAATGAGGTGGGTTGTTCAAAATGTCCGTGCAGTTGAATCTTAGGAACAATAGAAGCCAGGGGGGCAGGGGTGCTGGCAAGGCGCACACATGGCAAAATGGCCCCCACCCTCTAGAGGGCAAAAGGGGCTTCTCTAAGCAAACACTTTTAAAGGAAATGTTATTTTTTTAAAAATATAGAGGATCCCCACTTGAGAACTTTCTATTACTACTGAATGCTCAAAATTGCCTGTCTTTCCTTATCCTCCAGCTTGCATGTTATTTAATGCCACTGTTGCCCCTTCACATAAAAGTGTGCTTATGTTGGGGAGAGGGGAAGCCATCAGAGAATTTACAGACATTAGTCCCGAAGGGAGCATGTGTCGTTCTGCCAACTCCTGCGACATTGCTGGAACCAGTTGTATTGGCTCTTGCCTTTCCATTGGACCATTTCAGCAATGTGGAGAGGGGGGATCTGCTGCTTGGGTAACAGCCTATCCTCCATATTACCTTACCCGGGCTTCATGCTCTGGACAGGATACTCCTCGATTCAGAGCATGTTACCATAGTCTCTCGAGACTGAAGGATGCCTATGATGAAGTTCAGTATTTCGCTAAGTAGTGGTGGAGTTTTCAGTTGTTAAAACAGGTGATGTACCAGCTCATGCCAGGAAAGTCACTCCCATGAGAGGGTAAACTCCGTAGGAAGTAATGTATGAATCCTTTTTCCGAGACATAGCTGTAGGCATTTGACTTTTATCAAAGTATGGCTGTTCGTGCCAAAGCAGAAGTCCTCGTGGGAGAGAAGCACTGCCTCAGCCAGTCTCAGCAGCAGAACAAAAACAGTGTTTGTGCTTCTCTGAAAGTGTTTACTTAATAGGGCATGCCTTTGCTACCGTGGTGTTACAGATAACATCTGAACCTGGCTACTCGAGCATCTTAAAATGACTGGCCAGCCATTGGTATCACTTCTTATGTTTCGGATGTGTATCTCCGATCTCTCATTTCGCTATGGTTAAGGCTCTGGGTGGTCCTTAACAGGGAGACATTAAGACACAAGAAAAACATGTCTCAGTCCAAAAGCCGCAGCAACAACCCTCCCTGCATGGATCAGTATGTTGAGGGGTTTTGTATGTGAGAGAGGAAGGGAAATAATTCCTCCCCACCCAGCAATCTAGTTGAGCTACTGCTTGTGGAAGAGTCTACAGTGGAGCAGAGAGCAGCCTGGCTGCTTGGCCCAGCCCTAGGGATCCTGCTGTGCATTCAAAGAAGGCCTGTTCTTTCTTCCTTACTCTTTGGAGGGGCTGGTGCTGCTCAATTCACACCTCCCATCTTTTCCTAGAGAAGGGTGATGGGCTCTGGGTTTTTGGCCATTGTAAATCTCTACATTAAGGCTGCACTTGCTGTCATCAGTGTCAAATGCATCTTCTTGAGAATATTGGTAGCTGCATCAGGTTTTCGGTTTGTTGTCTGAATTGTGTCCTGTGTTGTTTTGTTCCAGAAAGATCACGTTCCGGCCCTTTTAGGGATGGCTATTGCATACATGATTTTAAAACAAACCCCACGAGCCAGGAACCAGTTGAAACGCATTTCGAAAATGAACTGGAATCCTATTGATGCAGAGGAGTTTGAGAAAAGTTGGCTTCTGCTAGCTGACATTTACATTCAGTCTTCCAAATACGACATGGCTGGTGAATTATTAAAACGGTGCCTCCGTCATAATAGGGTAATTGACAGGCCAGAATCTCATGTCCTATCAGATGTCTTAATGTTTTCCTATACTTTTTAGACTGCTAATATGACCAGTCTTGTGGAGAGCAAGAGGTACAAATGCATGCTTCAGCCTTGGGGTGTAATTTGTGTAGACACTGCTCTTGGCTGTGCAGGGAACTGTGGTACTTGCCATTCCCTCTACGGTCTAGTGAGGATGCTGGTCATTATTTGCATTCTTCTGTTTCTTTTCAGTAGTGAACCGAAAAGGTCTAAAAAAATTTAGCTTGCCGTTTTAAAGAGCTGAAAAGACTGATTTAAAAGTGAATTGATATAAGAAGTTTCCTTTTCTTGTTTGCTTTAGTCCTGTTGCAAAGCTTATGAATATATGGGGTACATAATGGAGAAGGAACAAGCGTACAAGGATGCAGCTGCAAACTATGAGATGGCCTGGAAGTATGGAAACCAAACAAATCCAGCAATAGGTAGGTTTGGTGTTAGCTCCTGCCCTCTGGTGGTCCGGGAGGAACCATAATTTTCCAGATTGAGGGAGGTCTTTCCCAAGTATATAGGCAGGAATAGAATGTAGGAAACGAATGTTATACTGGGTTAGACAATTCGCCCATCTAGCCTAGTGGTGTCATCTCGGATTAGCAGAGTATCCTTATCTTTGTGAGAATCACTTCACTTGATCCCTTGGATCTGGAAAAATATAGGAATCTCAGACCTTTTGCTTGCAAAGAATATGCCGTTTTCCCCATGAGCTGTCTCTTTTCTATAACCATCTGTCAGATCTACTTTGATTTCGATTCTGGCATTTAGCAGGGGGGTTTGGACACAATGGCTTTATAGGCCCCTTCTAGGATTCTCAGGTTCTATAACCCTTCATGATGGATCTCAGCACATACCTGACCAGAGGTGACAGTTTCTTACAGCTCTTAAAACTCTCTTGCCTTTTTTAAATGGTCGCTTCTTTAGCCAGCATATGAAGATCTGCACTCAGCTTGATATTTTAAATTAAAAACACCCTCCTTAACAGAATAGGATTTTAGTTGTTTGATTGTGCTCACCTACTATTACTCACATTTACGAAGACTCTCTAGGTAGATTGGAAGTTAGTAGGACTGTTCCCTGCCAAAGAACAGCAATCCTGAACCTGCTGATCTTGAAGCTGCCTTTTCAGGATATATGTGCAGGGTTCTGTTAATTGTTTAAGTATGAGTTTTCATCAAATGAAAACCACCTGGTTCAAGCTGCATAAACTTTCAAGTGAATCAAAACAGTAAGTCTGAAGGATAAGGCAAATCTCATATATTTTAACAGAATACATGGCATGTGTCAGAGTAAGAGCCGCCTTAAAAGGCCAGCTCATCTGTCCGTGGGAGAAGGCAAAATGGCCCTTCTAAAATGGTGGCTGCTGTCTGGTTTTATAAAGACTTGCTACAGTAAAAACAATAGCTGTCCACTTAAGGGAGTGTTTAGTACATTAAAATGTGGTAATAAAGTAACATGTGGTGTCATTAAATAATTAATCAAAATTAATTAGCTACACATTGCAACTTGTCCCAAAATAAATAACAGAAGGTTCTCAATGTGACAGACCTTTGTGCAAGACTGACTTGGGCATTGTTCTGTTCTTCATATACAGTATATAATTGGAGCCACATACATGACATAGGATTGTCACCAAAAGAAAGAGGATGGAGTATTTTCCTGAATGTATGGGAGACTTGTCCTATTTTCCTGTGCAGGGGAACCATGTATTTTGGACATGGCCTCCTGCCTTTCCCCAGATTGACGGGGGCCAAGGCTGTATTTTCAAGGTGACCTCAGGTTCCCAGAGGATGTTGGCAGCAAAGCAGAATGTAGGGTTGCTGTCTGTCAGCCAGGGCCACAGAGTTAGACTGAAGGAAAGCTATTTGATTCTCCATGATGGGACGCAATCTGCCTGAGAGGAAGCAAGCCATCTTGTGTACATCTGACAAGCCTCCTTTTCCTGCTCCTATAACCTTTTAAGATGTGAAGGCGGCAAGAATATGCCCCCAGTTTTGTGAAGTGGGAAAAAACAGGATTTGGTTCCAGACACACAAACACTCTCAGCTCAGTTCTTCATCCTGCTTACATAGGGGTCAGCAACATGGTCCAGAGGCTGTAAGACTACGACTCTTAAAATCCCTGACCATGGGCCATGTTAGCTGGGGCTTCTGGAAGCTCTAGTCCAAAATATCCAAAGGGCATCAGGTTGTCCACCTTGCTCTTGACCTCTGGTTTACTACAAACCTTTATGCTGTCTGTAGGAAGTGAAAGAAGATGGTTAAAATGTCTGCCCTGATCTCAGGCCAGTGCTTCCATTTGAGTCGGGGGAACCAAGTGGTGCTCTTTTCAGATTGGCTTTGAATCCATATAATATACAGTCGTGCCCCGCTTAACGATTACCCCGTATTATGACGAATCTGCTTCACGACGATGTTTTTGCGATCGCAACTGCGATCACAAAACAATGTTTTAAATGGGGTTTTTTCGCTTTGCGAAAATCGGTTCCCTGCTTCGGGAACCGATTCTTCACATTACGATGATCAGAACAGCTGATCGTCAGGTTTTCAAAATGGCCGCCGGGTACTCAAAATGGCTCCCCGCTGTGCTTAGGGACGGATTCCTCGCTATACAGGCACTGAAAATTGCCACCATATGGAGGATCTTCGCTGGACAGTGAGTTTTTAGCCCATTGGAATGCATTAATCGGGTTTTAATGTGTTTCAATAGGTTTTTTATTTTTGCTTTATGACGTTTTCGCTCCACAGCGATTTCACTGGAACGAATTAATGTCGTTAAGCGAGGAACCACTGTATTTATATGAACGCTACACTGCCCATTAAGACCTTGGATGCAGGTGCTGTATAGCAACTGCTGTTGTCTAACCTTTCTAAGTTGAAGAGATGAGCAAAGGAAATGTCTTGGGTCCCTTTGGCCTGAGCACACACCCACACACCACCATCTGATAGCTCCAACATTAGCTACTGTTGCAGCCCCCTTGCTGCAGCCAGCAGCTTTCTAGCCTGAGCAAACTCAGCTTTGTGGAGACAAGCCTGGGGAGATGACCAGTCCATGTAGTTTTAAATAGGATTGTAGGCATAGCTGTAGCTGAGGTAGACCCATTCTAGTGAACCTGTGCACTGACTAGCTTAAATGAAAGCATCTGTGGCCGGTGTCTGCCAAACTGGCTGCTGGAGGGGAGGGGAAAAGGGAGGGGAGGGATGACAGGGAGGGAAATTGCATCCTTTATTTGTTGTCTCCTTCTCTCCCTGCTCAGTTGCTGCTGCTACTGTTGCTGCTGCTGTGGTTGTTGCTGTAAGCTCCTGCTTTAAAAAGGTGTCAGGGATCTCCCTTCTTATTTTATGAAAACAAACACAATACAAGTGTCTATTCTAGTCTGTGCTTGGAAGCTGCCCTCTAGATTCCCTCCTCCTTTCAAAGAAGACCAGGGCAATAGTTCTCATTTATCTCCTGTATCAGAAGGTGGGAGCTCTCAAAGTGCGGCCTTTGAGAGAGGGGCAAGTCTTAGAGAAATGCAAACAATGGGCCATCTGTGCCTTTTCCCATTCTAGAATTTATTTGGCTCTTTTCCAACATAATTGTTTTTTTTAAAAAAAATATTTATTTATTACTCCACCAAAGCGGCTTGCATCAATTAAAAAAAATTTAAAGCAAAAAAACCCACAAAATTATGTAAATATTTAAAAATAATTAAATGAACATTATATTAAAAGTGTTATACTAAAACAGATTTGAAAGGAACAAAAATGCAAACCATCCCATTTAAAAACCTCTCTTAAAAGACATGCACAAGCCACATTTGCTGCTTGCAAAAAGAAAAGACTTCTTCACATAAAACCTTTAAATGTTCCCCAATGCAAAGAATGTCACATACTGTTTTATAGGTTTCAAGCTGGCATTTAATTACCTGAAAGCTAAGAGATACATCGACGCAATCAGTGTTTGTCATAAGGTAAGGTATTGTAAATATAAAATGATTAATTGTGACTTCGTGTTTTGATATGACATTTAAGAGTTACAGCAAAGCAAAGGCAGTCACAAATTCTTCATTTAAAACTTAAACTCTATGGGTGAGTGGGTATATATGAGAAAGAGAAGATGCTGTATGCATATGCCATTTTTCATGACAGAAGCTAGACATGCAATTTCCTCCATGTTTATGTGTTATTTTGGTACAGTACATCTGTTGTTGTGAAATACCCTTGGGTATATATATCAATGGAACCGACAGGTAACCTTCAGCTCAAATTTATAATAAGACAAAACATTACTGCTGTTTTACTACGAGCATTGTTTCTTTCAACAGGTTTTAGAAACTCATCCAAATTACCCGAAGATCAGAAAAGACATACTTGATAAGGCACGCATATCTTTAAGGACTTGAACATTATTGTGTATGTTTATCTTAATAAGGGGGGGTATTACAAAGGGGGGAATGGGCTGCGAAGACATCTGTTTAGTTTGGGTGATGCTGCATGCCCCACCTGTTTCCACTGGAGGATTTTTTAAAAATGAAGAGAGACTACTTAGATTTATCTCCCCTCTGGAAGAGGACGTTTCAGTACTTAAGGTTCAGTAAACGCAAACTATAATTTGATGTCTGTTACTCTCCACCGATGGGTACCAGCTGCCATCCCAATAAATCACTTCAGTGTAAAGGAAGGACAGAGGTAGGCGGAACCCCCTTTGAAGGTCTCTCTCAGGCAGAGAAATCTTCAGAGAAAGTTTTCCAGCTGCGCTCATAGTTCCTTCATACTCATAGAGGTGATTTATTTGGAGTGAGATGATGGTTTTTAAACAGTGTATAATCAGAATCCTCAAAGGCAATAAAAAAAGAAAAAGACAACACAATTGCAATGCTTTATCTGTGTCGTTAAGTTTTTATGTACTATTCTGGTTTTGTTAAGATGTTTTTCTAAAAAGAAAAACCAAGCAAATTAAAGAACCTAACAAATTATTGTTTTCTAAAGCAATTCACTTTGCTGCTGACTAAGTTATTTTACTTTTTTATGGTATGCAAACATAAATAAAGTATACGTGTTCTGCTGGCTTTCTAAAGATGGCCAAAATCCTGTTGCCATGCATGTAGCATAAATTGATCCATGCTGCAGTTTCCAGGGAGTTACACCTAGCAGAACATCATTGCAGTGCACAACTTAATTGTGCAAAGTATTGTACAACAGTGCCTGTGAAACTGCTTGCAGAGTGTGGTTTCTGCCATTACATAGATGTTGCAGCCATGTGAGCAACAATACCAGCCTAGCTATGAAACAGGACTTGGCCAATGCATGTACATAGATGGCACTGGTATCTTTCTTCTCCTTCAAAGATGCTCAGAGTTATATTGTAGCCTCATAAGTAGTCTGCAAAATGGATTTGGTTGCGAGACAATGCCCTTCTTCAGTTTTGGATGGGGACTTCAGTTTCCTACACCCAAGCCTCGCACTTCAGTCGTTTCAACAAACAGTGATCAAATATCACATTGCCGGCACCCCCCCACACACACACACACAGAGTTTCATACATAGGAATATATTTCTGTTGGAATGTCTAATTTAAAAATGTCAGCTGCCTCTCACCATTTACCCGTTTGTATCATTCATTCATAAAGCGATTATGTCAAAGAGCTTGTCTTATTAAGCCAGCATTGGTGGTGTAGCCTCTGGAAATTCTCAGGCACTTATTTTTCAGAGAGGTCTTAGTCTTAGCGACCTCTTGAACATCTGTGGTCTCTTATTCAAAAGCAAAACTGCAGAAACAACAAGGCATGTGGGATACACATGCCTTGTTGTTTTTGCAGTTTTGCTTTTGAAACCTGGGCCCACAGCCACTCGGTCCTCACCGTGCTCCAACAGCTGTTGTGGACGTCCTATTTTAGAAGGGAAACCACTGCAGTGCATGTATGTCATTTCCTCCAGTGTTTCTCTTTTAATCTGGATTGGTGGGAGGTCTGGATGGGGTAGTCTCTTAAAGTTTAGGAACAGAGAAAATCAACATAAAGAGCTTTTTATAGATATTGTGTGTTTCAAACTTTCTGTAATGAAGTGGGTGGGCAGCTGTTGAGCATACAGATGTTTTGGATAACACCAACAATCCCTGACCTGGGTGTACTGGGCAAGAATGATGGGTGCTATAGGGCAAGACACTTGGTGGGCCACAGATTCCCCACCCATGCTGTAAAGAGACAGGTGCAAGAAGGCCATATTGTTTTCCTGCTGTCCCACTGAATCAGTCATCTCAGTTAGGAAGACTAGCACTATTGGACCACAGTTCCTAGAAACCTCCCAGCCAGTATGTATGTGCTGGGGGAGGGGGGAAATTATGGGAACAGTAGTTCAAAAAAGCACTTTTCTGAACTCTGTCAGATGTACACACTCACACCTTCCCCCATGTATTGTTTCAACCTTCAGGCCTACCAAGTGGTTGTGGCAGAGCTGGAAGTTTGTCTTGTCTTTCAGTTATCAAAAGCTTAAGTGGATCTCAAACCAGTCCTTGGATGCTGTGAATTTTTCAAAGCCACCTTTGTAGTCTTGTGATGGAGTTAAAAGCTGCAGATGTAGGGCTGACCAAGAGTAATCTGATGCTCTTATTCCTTTGATGATGATGGTGTTCATGTCCTGTACCGGACTAACAATTCTTAAGAATCTCTAACGGGATGGCATTAAAACTTAAATTTTCCTTCCTGTACCTTGCTAACATTCTTGCATATTTACTTTAGTAAAAAATACATGTACTCCCCTGTAGAAACAAAGCCCAGGGGAAGATATTTATACTTCTCCATGCTAGCTGTAGAGGGGACAAGGGCTTATAAATTCTGACTATTAACCCCTCATATTTGCCCACCTCCAGATCTGTACCACTTCATCACTAGCTTAGAACAATGGGGCCTGTATCCAATGGTGTCACTGCAATGACACAAGATCACTTGTGCAGCCAGTTATGCATTTACAGAATTAGCACACAGGCCATAACTGGTGCCATTGTTGTTCTGCAATGTAAACCACAGCCTTCCAGTGACACTTCACTGTTGCTTACACATTCCATTGCAATTACACTACTGGGGAAATTACTGTTGAACTTTTAAAGTTGTTTTTTTCTTTCATTTTTATGTTTTTTTAATCATACAGTGCATTCGGTTGTTTTATAGATTATTGTAATCTGTATATAAGCTGCTTTGAATAGTTAATTGAAAGGTATATAATAAATATATTGAAGAAAATAACTATAGATTCCTCAATCTGTTTTTATGGACCCATATCCCACATTTCTGTATTTTATTTATTAGCGGCATTTTAACTTTCCTCCTATGATCAGGGTAGCGTATGTGGCTCTCCTCCTTTTCAGAACAACCTGGCCAAGGGTCACCCAGTCAACTCACAATCAAGTGGGGATTTGAACCTCGGTCTCTCACCATATTAACTGTTGCTCAACCAACTGCTTTCAGGCACATTTTTCTTGTTGGACCCAGTAGAAAAATACAGCTTTATCCCACAACTTGGAGACAACAATCGCAATAAGGTTACCATATGACTCATATTGTTGTACAATGCTGCCATTTTTAGCCATCTTGAAGTTGATTTCGGCTTCCTGAGAATGATGTTAAGGTTTCATCATTATAGCTCTTGTGGTTGCCTGCAAACTCCTTTATTTTCTTTTGCTCTTGTATCCACATCCTCTGATTCAGATACAAAGCCACAGCTTCTGTCACTACTAGTCTTTATTTACTCCTTCTGTAGTTGCCTTTTTTAAAACTTAAGGATAGAAGACAAACATAGATTTGAAACACAAAGTACTTTAATGTTTTATCTCAAATTAAAACTGTAATTTTATTTAGTTAATGGTATTTCCATCATTTTTCACAGTGCCATGGTGTTAATATCAACAAAGAAGTTAAATCTAATTGAGTTTAATAGTTTTAAGTATATGTAGGCTGAAATCCTGTTTGTAGAGTAAGCCAACTCGTAACTTTCCATCTGTTCCTCCCTGGTGAACAAAGTACTCCTGCCACAACTCTCAGAAGGGGTGTATATGCATGCCTGATGCAGGCATACATGTATCCTGAAGAATCAAGGTGGGGATGCCTTGTTTAGCAGGTAGGAATAGACAGCACTAGGATTGTAGCCTCCTTTGTAGGTTTCAGCACTGGGATTGTAGCCTCCTTTGTAGGTGGCAAGCTCTTACTCTGAAGCCTTCTTCATCGTTGAAATATATTTCTGTGTATGGAACCGTCCCAAGAAGCAGGCATGTTCTGAAATACAGATGTCTCTTTTGAATGTTAGGATTTCCACCTGGAGATTCTCTTTATTTTTCCTCAAACAAAAACCCAGTCAGAATCCTGTTGGTGATGTACACATGCATGAGGAGGACAATAGCAACACAGGCTCAGCTGTGGGCTGGTCATCTCACTTTCCTCCTTGTTCCAGGAAATTCCAAATGGCAAGCTTCCCTGTGGACCTTGGAGACTCCCTCTGGGCAGAATGGGTGCCATGGCTAAAGAGGCCGAGGTACTAAAACAAGGAACCCAGATGGAGCCCCAGAGAAGGAAGTGCCCCCCTGAGAACCCAAGCAAGGAAGTGTGGCCCCTGGAGGAGAGGAGGGAGAGACCACAGGAGCTGCAGGATATGGGGGGGGGCATTGGAGGCAGAGGGGCAGGAGGTGTCATAAGGATAGAGTAGGTCATGGGGTCAAGAGATAGGACCTGCTGTCAGATGTGGTGGTAGAGGAGATAGAGGAAGCCTAAGGGATGACACCCTAGAGCAGGGGTCCCCAACCCCTGGTCTGCAGCCCTGGGCGAGACTGGGCCACGGAGACAGATATCCCACCCACCCCGCATGCACTCCTGCCCGGCACAGCCCCTTTGTGCATGCAAAGGGGCTGTGCCCCCCACCCCTTTGCAAGTGTGTGCGAGTGTCCCCCGAGCACCCCCTGCCCTTCGCGCATGTATATAAGCTCCTTCACACATGCGTGCGAGCATGGGGGGCTGCCCCACCTTCCCCAACCAGTCTGTGGAGTTCAAAAGGTTGGGGACTGCTGCCCTAACCAAATTGCCTAAGATGAACCAGAAGCCCTGGGTGACTGGGAATAAATACACAAAGAAGGACCCTGGACCAAGGTCCTAGTACAACGGAGGGTGCCAAAAGAATAGATGGCGGGGGCACCTTAAACTTCAACCTCTCCACAGCCCCAGCAGGAGCCTCGTGGTGCAGTGGATAAACTGCTGTACTGCAGCCAAAACTGTGCCCACGACCTGGGGTTCAATCCCAGGTAGCGGCTCAAGGTTGGCTCAGCCTGTCTATCCTTCCGAAGTCAGTAAAATGAGCTTGCTGAGGAGGCAATGTGTAGCCTGCATAATCAACTTGCAAACCACCCAGAGAGTGCTTGAAGTGCTATGGGGCGGTATATAAGCAGCATGCTTTTACTGAGGGGAACAGAAAAGCCAGGCGGAAAAGCACTGTCCCTAGGGATCCGGGGCTATGAGGGCCAACTGCCACCCGGCCACGTTGCTGGAGGAGACAGAGGCAAACCCTGGAGAGACAGCAAGAGCAGAGAAGCTGGGACTGTCACTGTTGCCCTCGTTGTGTGCATATAAACTCTCCTTGCTGCAGGCCTCCGGATGCTGGTCAGCACAGAGAACCCCACTAAGAGTCAAAGGAGTTGGAGGCCTCCCAGTGATGCTAAATGGAGGGTCCTCAGACTGAACCCGAGAGAAGTGCTGGGCACTGTTCCAAAGGCTGTTACAAGTGATTTGTCTGTTTCTCCCACCCCAGTTTACATTGAACTACCTTTGGTGTCATTCATGGATTCGGGGATGGAGGAAGGAGCTCCCACAGACATGGCTAGGCCTCCCAGTGTACATACGCTAACTTGTTTAAAGTTGAAGTTGTTGCTAGTAAAGTGCTGATCCATAGGATTCTGGCCATTAGATCTTGAAAAGGAAGTTACAATCTTGAAATGCCAGCTGCATGTGGTCTTTCTAGTTCTGCACCATACTTTCGAACATTTCAACTGTTTACTTTGCCTCAGTGCAACTTACATTTTGTCTTTTCATTCTCTAATGTTTGCACTTGCTGGAGCCTGAGTTGCTAATGTTTCTAAGGAGGCAGCTCACACTTAAGTAAATAAAGGGCAATCCTTTGGAACCGTCCACAAGCTGTTTTAGCCTTGTTATCAGCTTCCGTTTTAATACTACAGCAAACAATCCAAATGCTACAAAGAGGGTGGAGCTTTCTGCAAAGAAGGTGGAAAAGCTTATTTCTTTCCTTCATTGAAAGATACTAAAGACTAGAAGAGGTTGAAAAATTTGGGTTTTTAAAAAGCAATTAGCCACAAATTAAAACCATAATTCACTGGAGTACTTCTATTTCTGCCAGAATTGGTCACACCACACCTGGGAAACCTAGAGCAGATTTTTGGCACTACAGAAAGATGTATCAGGACTGTGAAGAGAGGAAAGTTACAGTGCTTTTGGATTTCAAAGCCTCAGCTGAATCTTGACCATAATTCCAAGGGAGAAAAAATATATAATTACCCCTGTAATTGCAGCATTTTAAAAACAACAACAACACTTTGGTTTTAGGTAGTAACTCTGGCACTTGGTCCTTAAAAAAAAACCCTGAATGCTAACAAGCCACTGATCAGCAGTGCAGTATACCAAATGCACTCTCCTCCCACCCAGCTCCTCATTGGAAGAACCATATGATATTCTTCCTCCAAAATTTAGGGAGGACACATCCCTGGGACCGCAAAAGTAACTAAAAAGTATATAGACCACAAAAGAAATGAAGTCACAATTTCACGCATCTGTAATTTAGATATTTGAAAAAAAGAGATTCAATGCAGGGAAGGCATTCATTGTAAAAAAAATTATTTCTGAGTTTTGAGCTCTACATAGTAACATCACTTGGGTCTCTTAAGGTGATGAACAAAAAGAACAGTGTTAACCATGTATACAGGGTGGTTAGAGTGGCCAAATGCAAAACAAAAATAAGACAAATTGGTTTTGTGATGGTATTTAACACCAGTGAAATTGAACTGTACGGACAAACAATATTCCAAGGCATGCTGGAGATGTGAGCAGGAAATAGGAACCTACTTCCATATGTGGTGGGAATGTGAATAGAACATGAAGTTTTGGAAGCTGATTTTTAAAGAGATAAGCAAAATATTAACGCTAAACATAGCATTATATCCTGAAATAGCACTTTTAGCAATATTTGAGAGCGAACAATGGGATTGGGAAATGAAAGAATTGATTAGAAATTTAGTAACAGCAGCTAAATTAATAACAGCAAAGAAAATGTGATCTCCAATTAAATTAATTGTATAAAGAATTGTGAAATAGAGCTATTAATGATCAATTGATGTGTAATATAAAAGAAAAGGATTTTTAAATAAGAATATATTTATAGATATATGAGGAGAATTTATTGATTTTGTACTAATAAAGGGGAGCGTTGTGTACCTTCTCAAGAGTCAATACAGTATATTTTTGAAGGGGAATGGGGCTTGATAAAAGGAAAGGAATGGAATATCTCTATTGGTCCTGGTGGGGGGGGATCACATTGAGTATATGTGTGTTGTTGGAGTTTTTTAGTTTAGTTTTGCATGTAATTAATTAAAAAGAAGAAGACACTGTGGTTGCTGTGCCTTTAATACGAGGGGGTGCTGATAAATATAGAGCCTTTCCAAGAAAAAATTGAGCTAGGAAACTATACATTGCAGGGTGTACTGGCCAATTTGTCTGTATTCAATGGTGCAAAAATCAACTACAGTCGTGCCTCGTTTAACGCTTACCCCGCATTACCACGAATCCGCTTAACATTGAAGGTTTTGCAATCGCAAAAGCGATTGCAAAATGATGTTTTAAATGGGGGAATTTTGCTGTGTGATGATCGGTTCCGTTTCGGGAACCAATTTTCACTTTACAATGATCAAAACAGCTGATTGTTGGGTTTTCAAAATGGCCGCCAGGTGAACAAAAAGGCTCCCCGCTGTTTAGGAGCCATTTTTCGCTGCACAGTCACCCAAAAATGGCCCCCCCTATGGAGGATCTTTGCTGGATGGTGAGTTTTTAGCCAACTGGAATGCATTAACCAGTGGCTTTTTTATTTTCGCTTTACGTTTTCGTTCTACAGCGATTTCGCTGGAACAAATTAACGTCGTTAAGCGAGGCACCACCGTACCTATGATTTTAACTTATCTTTCGTGTTCGGGTCCAAAGTGAACATGGCAGCACCTCCAGAAAAGTTCAATGTGGAACAGCATAGAACCATAATCAAGTTCCTGTTTCTTCAAGGGAAAGGCGCAAGGCAGATCCATGATGAAATGTCACAAACAGTGGCCCTTCAAATGCAACAGTTAAATGTTCAGTTGTCAATTTTAAAATGGGCCATTTTGGTGTTGAAACTGAGAAACCCAGTAGAAGGTCTGTTTCTGTCTCTGTGCCTGCAAACGTGAAAGCCATTCATGACACGATCATG